AACTGGAACAGCATACAATAAATCCCCCCAAGAACGATACAAGGCTCCATTTTGACGTTTTGAGGGTCAAGCAGGAACAGACAGGGCTGTGGGTTTATTGTTCTTATATACACATTAGTACCACCCACAGGGTTTTGGAAAACAACCAATAAACACATACAATACACTCAGACACTCCCACACAAAATACTCCCCTCTGCCTGTGATACAATTACCTTACACAATGGGTAATATAATTATCACTGGCAGAGAAATACAGTTTTTCCACATTATTCATAATTTTAAAAGTATGCATCACATTCACACAAAACTTGTAAAAAATCATCCACATTGGTCCATTCAAAAGATAGATCAAAGTCCTTTGTGACCAAAGGAAGTATGGCTTTTCTGCCCAAAACCAGTTCCACAGAGTCTTCCATCCTGGAGATAATTGGGAAGTAATCCAATTATCTCCAAGGACAGAGGCAAAACTCCATTAAGCACATGGCAGTAAAAAGACAGTAAGATACAATAAAACACACAAGGTTACATTATTACACAAAATACAGACATGCAACATATCCCCAAATAGCTTAGGTCTGAGCACACATTATTACTGAATGGCACTCAGACCACACAAATACAGTTCAATTGCCATGGAGCCAAAGTCTTTCCCATAGTCTTTCATTATACGAATAGACTCCATGGCATAGCTATCTGGGGTATCACCGCTCAAACAGGGCAAGAACCGAATGACCCAGCTTTAATATCTTAGCAGGGGAAAATCAAGCGTTTCAACATGGGGTCATAGTCTAAATGCAGCAGGCGGGCAACCAGGCTCCTCCAATGCACAGTGGCGAGATTGGTCTCGTCACAGCTTCCATTAAGGGTATACGTTGCTTATGTATTCTTTATGCCGAAGTGCATAACTTTGCATTTTTCAACATTAAATTTCATCTGCCATTTGAGTGCCCGGTCCCCCGGTCTATCTAAATCCCTCTGCAGCAAAGTAATATCTTGCTCACATTGTATTATTTTACAAAGTTTTGTGTCATCTGCAAACACTGAAACATGACTTTCAATGCTGTCTTCAAGATCATTTATAAACATGTTAAATAGAAGGGGTCCCAGAACAGACCCCTCTGGGTCACCACTTGCCACCTCTGTCCAGCTTGAAAATTTACCATTAATGACGACTCTTTGTACTCTGTTTTTAAGCCAATGTTCTACCCAAGAACAAGCATTTTCATCTAAACCGATTTCCTTGAGTTTGAACACTAATCTATTGTGTGGATTTGTATCAAATGCCTTGGCAAAATCCAAATAGATCACATGCACTGCAACACCCTGATCTATACTTCTACTTACTTCTTAGTAGAACACAATCATGTTAGTTTAACATGACCTGTGCTTCATAAAACCGTGCTGATTTTTGCTGATATCCATGTTCTTCTCAAGGAATTCTTGAATATTATCCCTTAATAACCTTTCAAATATTTTACCAGCCACAGAAGTTAAGCTCACAGGTCTATAATTTCCAGGCAAGGATTTTGAACCCTTTTTGAATATAGGAACCACGTCTGCCTTCCTCCAATCCTCCGGAACACTTCCTGAAAGAAAAGAATCTTGAAAGATTAAAAAGAGGTTCACTTATTTCTACACTTAGTTCCTTAAGTACACGTGGATGGATACCGTCAGGCCCTGGAGCTTTGTTTATATTAACTTTCTTTAGTTGCTGCAGCACCTTGTCTTGAGTTAACCAATTACAATGATTCTGCAAGTTTTTAGTAGCAATCATTTGCACATCTATTGCCATGGGTTCTTCCTTAATATATACGGAGGAGAAAAAGTTATTTAAAATTCCTGCCTTTTCGTGGTTTTCATTAACTAACACCCCCGTTTCAGTTTTTAGTGTACCTACACTTTCATTTTTTATTTTTTTTTAGAATTTATGCACTTAAGAAATGCTTTGGGGCTGGTTTTGCTCTCTTTAGCTATCATTTTTTCATTTTGAAGTTTAGCAAGTCTAATTGCCTTTTTGCACGCATTATTTGCTTCCTTATATCTTTTATAAGATGCATTTGATTTGTCCGATTTAAATGCTTTAAATGCCCTTTTCTTATTTTTAATCTCTTGTTTTACTTCTCTACTAAGCCACATTGGTTTTAATTTATTTCTTTTATATTTATTTCCCAATGGTACATACTGAGAAATGTACCTTTCTAATATTTGTTGGAAGATGATCCATTTATACTCAGTGTTCTTTTCACTAAAAAGTTTATGCCAGTCAATATATTGTAAAGCTTCCCTTAACTTATTGAAATTGGCTTTTTTAAAATTATATGTTTTAGTATACCCCGTGTGCTTTTGTTTTTTTTTAGTTTATTTCAAAGGACACTATATTGTGATCACTATTTCCCAAGTGCTCACCTACTTGAATGTTGGTCAAAAGATCAAGGTTGTTTGTTAAAACCAGGTCCAGACAAGCATCCATTCTAGTTGGTGCTTGTACAAGTTGTGACATGAAGGTGTCATTTAACAAGTTTCAAACCTTATTCCCTTTGTTTAGCTACTAGCCCCTCTGTCCCAATTTATGTCCGGGTAATTAAAATCTCCAATAATTAAAGTGTTACCTAGATTTGCAGCTTTCTCAATTTGCTCAAATAGCTATTGTTCCTTGTCAATATTAACATTAGGTGGTTTATAACATATCCCAACCAATAGTCAGTTTCTTTTCTTTTCCCCCAAGCAGATATTTACCCATAAAGATTCCACATTTTCCTCTTTGCATTCCATTTGCTTAATATTTGGCTTTAAATCATGGTTGACATACAAACATACCCCACCACCCTTCTTGTTTTTCATATCCTTCCTAAATAACATGTACCCATTTAAGTTAACTGCCCAGTCATGTGTCTCATCCCACCATGTTTCAGTTATGCCTATTATAGCATATTGTTTAGTGTATGCTAATGCCTCTAGTTCCCCCATTTTGTTATTTAGGCTCCTTGCATTAGTAAGCATACATTTAATATCATGCATCACTTGTATATTTTGTGAATTATGAACATTACATAGCTTCTCTGTTCTGAACTTGCCCCTCCCCCTGTCTCCACCCCCCTTATACTGTGCTAAAGCCCATCTCCTTTCTGTCCTATATCCATTTTGTAGATTGCTTTGACCCTCCCGCTCTACTACTAGTTTAAAATCTCCTCCAACCTTCTAGCCATCCTATCCCCCAGCACTGCAGACCCTCTCCCGTTTAGGCGCAATCTATCACTACTATAAAGGTTGTACCCAATCGCAAAGTCGGCCCAGTGCTCTAAAAACCCAAAACCCTCCTTCATGCACCAAAACTTAAGCCACGCATTGACCTCTCTAATCTCCCACTGCCTTTCCACTGTAGCGCGTGGCACAGGTAATATCTAATAATAATATCTAATAATACTAAAAAATCCTATCCTATCAAAGATCGTATATGCTGCAACACCAAAAATGTCATATACTTATTGGAGTGCCCATGTGGCCTCCAATATATAGGAATGACCTCTTGACAAAAAAGAAATGTAATGGGTTTTCCTTTTAAAAACTCTTATGCCAGATGGTCTTAATGTTGATTTTGATGTTTTTCATTTCTTAAAACTGGCTTTTTTTTTTTCATTTCTTAAAACATGGCTGCCATTTTATCATAGGAGGTTATTCACTATCTACTCCCTTCCCCTTCTTGGAGGAGCTTCCTCCTCTCTTGTAGTCTGTAGATGCAACTGGATTCCAGCCGCACTACATTTCCCATGCCCCATTGTGCGCAGTCACGTGACTCGGCCTGAAATTATTCAAAATGGCAACGGTCACAAGACCAGCTATTTTCATAATTTTATCACATTTAGAAGCTTCATTTTTGCTTCTAAATTTTACACACTAGTCTCTGCAATGCTCTACTACTAAAATGTAAAAAAAAAAATCATGACATCATTTAGGCACCAAATTTTAAAAAGCTGTCTGATTTTTCTTTGCTTTTTATTTGTTTGTCTTCTTATATATATATATTTATGCTGCTACACACTTCGGTTGTTATTATTTCCGGCGCTACCTTTATCCCCCTTGTTGTTTTATAAAGCTTAGAGGGAGCCTTATGTTTTAAGGTGTGTAGCCTACTTTTATTTTTATTGAATATCTTCTTGTTAGGTCTATTAGCACTGATCCTTTTTATCTTTTTGTTTACCTAATAGTCAAAATGGCTGCCCTGCCGGGGCCTGCAATTATGAGCATCCCCCTGGAGTCACCCACACAATGTTCAAACGCACCTGTGCCCTTTTCTTTGCAAACATCTACAAGAGGGGGCTTACCTCTGTTCCTGATGTCCAAATTAAGGCACCTCTGAAGCATCCGGTTGCTTGTTGCTGGGTGTATGAGCATCTCCCATATGTTTCCCAGATAGCACGGCATAGAAGGAGGCACAAGAAGCTACTGCCACGGCAGACATCTGCACTCCATCTGAAGCTGTATACCAGATGCCACTCACCTTAGCTGCGGGAAGCTAAGCTCCTTCACCTCAAGCGGGACCACCCTTAACCGGAGGACCCTCTATCATACTGGCCTGAAAGCAAAGCTACGAGTCTGTAAACGCAAGCACTGACCGAAGTCTAGTTATAATAAGCTATATTGTTTTAAGTTCATTACAATTTACTTTTTAATGAGTAATAGGCTACAGATATATATGCAATATACAAAATTAAGACAATTGCTCTATAAGGAAATACCAAATTAAATAAAATAGCGAAAACGACATGCATGTAACTCAAGCAAAGCAACAATATTAATATATGTCCAACTAATGTATAGTGGTTATCCACTTGTGTTTGATATATTGCTGGTGTAGTTCTACTAGGTGATGCTGGTGATGCAAAAGTAGAAATCAGGGAGCCAGAACAATATAAACGAAAAGTTCCTCCTCCATATCCACCAACATCCTTTGTCATTGCATCACTCTGTGTCCTCTATAATTGATTACATCTTTTTTACTCATTTGTTATCCCACAGTTCATGTCCCCAGCCATCATTCCATATTGTTGTATCACTCCATGTCTCTCCATTTATTTCATGTGTATCTCATCCAATGGCCCACAGTTAATTTCCTTTCTCACATCTCTTTTATTTTAGGTATTCTTTAGTTATCATTTTTCATAATCATAAGTAACATACAAATAAAAAAACAAGTACATTGAGAGATCAACACAAAACAAAAGGGGAAACATATAAAGAATTACAATATGGGAAAAAGGGGGACACACAATCAGTCAATATAAAAATGTTTCACTATTGACAATTTTAGCTAAATAATCATTACTTGTCTTACCATCACATAAAATGGAAGCCTGTGTACAATGTTGACTGTGCATTTTTGCTCAGAGCTATGACCGGCAGTGGGGAGTTCTATAAGGGTAAGGATAACGTCCCTATGTGAAAGTTGTGGAATTAGAGTAGTGGGTCCAAGTTGACTATGATTGAGAGTTAGCTATCACATTGTCTACGGCTCCACGATGCCTGTTTAGAGGAAGGAAGGGGGCCAGTAAAGTTGACAAGGGAGGTGTGGGGTGACTCTGAGGAACAAGGGGATGCAGATGTGAGTCAAGAGGTTGTCCATAATACATTGCCCACTATATTATGGGTGATAGGTGATACAAGTGTAAGGGCAGTGGCAGGAACTGGGGGGTTAATCTGTCTGCCTTTCCCTGCTTCTTCTTGCTATGTATTCTAAATGTGTGCATTCTGGAAAATGTTTTCACATAATAAATGTGCGTAAAAAAGTGATGACATAAAGACAATGAAAATTAAAAATTTATTATAACAATATATTAAGCATATTTTGCATATTATTTTAATTTACAAGTGCAATAAATGGATACAAAATGCACGATAACACGTTTTTAATATCCTGCATTTAATTGTTCTATGCTAATAGTGAATTAAATCACAATAGCCACAGGATATATGTATATTATCTTGTTTTTTAATATAAAGTAATTGTTCTTGACTTGCAGTGAATGTAATATAATATGCTGAGTTTAATCGATGGAAGCAAAATCAATATTGTTCACAAAAGAAATATAATCTTCTACAGAAACAAAAATCAAATACTATGTTTTCTTCTTCAAGTTTTAACACATCGCCCCTAAAGTGCATTACCGGAATGTTTTCTCAGGAATCCTTTAATAGTTGTAAATTCCAAGTCAGAAAAAAAGAATCACTGCCTCTTTAACTAATAACATGTCACGTCTTTAATCATGCTGAATCTGAATTATTCAGTCGCTGTGGAAGTTGCTAGTTGAGAATCTATAGCTCTGTATCTCGCTGGGGGAAGTTTATTATTAGTGTGTCTGACAGCAGAGAGCCCTGGCAGGTTAATTGCTGCAGCAAGACTAGCTGGGAGTTTGCTGTTGATATATGGTGACTAGAGGGAGAGAAGGAGATTGACTATGCCTGTTATAGCACAAATATCTTCATGCGCCTCAGGTTTCTTACAAAGATATGGGAAATAAATGCTTGCTGTTCATTTTCTGTCTACACAATACAAATAGCCCGAGGCTAAACATGGCAACCACAGCATAGAGTGAAGGGAACAAAAATGGAAACTCACAAATTAACATTATTACAAACATCTCTGCCTGAAAGTGCTGAAAATCAATTTCAATACATTTAGAATTTTAATAAGGAACCACACAAATAAATCAACAGAGTTTATGGAATACTTGGCTGGCAGAAATGGTTTTTGATTATATTTTCTCTCCTCTGCAGAAGAAATTTTATATGAAATTGGGCATAAGTGAAACTGCAAGAATATAATTATAACTTAATTAGGTAAAAAAAATAATCTTTAAATGCATTTTATGCTGTAACCCTTTCATAACCAGATTAGAGAACACATTTCAAGAGGGAAGCTGCATTTATTTTTAAGTGATTATTGCACTATCAGTTGTTATGCGTGTCAGGCCTATCGATCAGCTTCTATTAAGAATGTTTATCTAAGGGTACGAGTTAAAATAAAATCGACTGGTCCCTAGCAATTGTAACTAAATAAAAACTCGATGCTTTATTACTGAGATAGATTTTGTAAATGTACAGCCATGCCAGATATATGATTCCTATACAGGAATGGAGCTGATCATCAACATTTTAAATTTACGGCCCCATTGACGCAAGGCAGGCTTCCTGCTTTCCATATGAGCACTCTATCTTCTTGACAGCATCTTCAAAACATGATCTAAGAAAGGGATATTCTTTCCCTAACTCATTTTCGCTTACCTTCTATTACAAGGATTCATTGCATGTGCTATTTTGGGGATGGTCATTGCTGGCTACATGATTTGTTTATTTAGTATGCAAATGTTTATATCCGATTCCCCATGGGTACAATTTAATAGGATCTACAACTCTTTATCTCCATTATTTGACTTTTGGTTACTACACTGCTCTCTAGTGATAAAACCATCCATCTGCTTTAAAGCTATGTTTATTGACATTATCTTTGTGAAAGATTTAAAAAAAAAATACCCATGCATTTTTCCATGTTTACTTGATATTTTCTCGGTTTTACCAAAGCTTTAAGTTCAATGTTTTTTTTTGTTTCAACACAGCATGTATCAAAAGCTTTGGCCTGTTATGAAAATCTCATAATAAATACCTCTCCAATACTTATATTTATCAAGAATGTTGAAAGTTAGTGCGACTGTGGTCGCTTGCTTCCTGTCCTGGAAGTATTTCCATCAAAATTCTCTGGATCTCACTACTGTTACACAATCGATATGTCCACAATCACTTTTATGCCTGTTTGGATTATTTTCAACCGTTTTATTATATTTTTTTCTTTTGTGTTTTAACTATAATTTTGCAAAACACCATTTGTAAAATGCCATTTAACAGATGTATCAATCTTTACAGATGTGTTTCCTATTTCTTTTTTTCTAAAAACACTTAAATATTTAAGTTATGTAAATGTACACATTTATTTATTTATATATTACAACATTTTTTTTTCTGGGATGGTGGGGTAGGAATGAAAAGCATTAGACAATATCCAGTGTCCTTTACCCTAATATATTTCACACAGGGTCTGATGTTAGTTTTAAAGCAAAAATAAAAAGATTATCATATACAGTAGATATAATGCAATAGATACATAAAAATAGTCAAATAGCCTGCTTTTAGGTATTTCTAAGGACCTCAAAGGCTTCACTAGCAGTACATCTTACTGAAAATGCATTTGAGCATAATGGCCACATACAGTAAATACTTCTAAATTATATATTCCTTAAATAAATGTGTTACAGGAAACTTTATTAATGTCTTGAATACTAATGTAATTTTGGCAGTAAAATGGTAGAGCCCATTCACTCCTGCCTCCTTGACTGTTGGAATGGTATAACTTATTGAAATTTCCTTTTTGTATTTGGAAGGAGGCTCCAGGCAGTTTGGTTGCTAATCATTCCTTGAGTATAAATGTGAGTCTTTGTGGTCTAAATTTAATTTTGCAAATTAATAAAAGTAAAAGCAAACAAACGGTCTTATAACACCGGCATGGATTCAGGACACGTGCAAGGTCTCAGAGTAATATAAAGGCTTACATGATGGCTTTAAGGATGCCAACAAGATAACAGCAAGGCTTTCAGGACACAGAAATTAAATCAACTGAGGTTTCACACACATAAGCCAGTATGGATAAAACCAAGGAGATCTAAGGTATGGGTTTAAATATCCACAGCATCACGGGAGGTATAGTCCAAAACATCTGGAGTGCCGAAGCTTGCCTATGCCTGGATTAGGCTATTCAGCACAGGGCCTGAAATAGCAAGCTTGCTGAAATGCTTTATGGATGAGGAGCACTCTCCATTAACCCAAGTTTATAAAAGTGCTGATTTCAATGAGATATCAGCACTTTTATAAATTAACTAGCTAGTCAATCAAACAGTCAGGCAGGATTCCTTCCTACTTCCGTTAGCTCCCCTGAGCTAATGGAAGTGGCAGGCATACTCTACTTGCCACTACCTCCCTAACAGACCTCAGACCAACGTCAGCAGTGCATAAGTGGCCGGCGCGCATGCACGTAAGGTCCAAGTCAGAGGCTTCTTAATGAGAAGCCTCTGATTGGTTATTTCCCTGTGAAGAGACTGAAAGTATGTATTCATTGGGGATGTATCTACTAAACTGTGAGGGTGTTTTGGGAATGGGTTGGAAGAGTGCAGTGGTCCTTTAAGTACAGCCATACAAATTATATATCATTAGAAAGAGACAGAATAGGACTTTATTTTGAAACTCTATATGTATACATAACAAAATATTAAATAGAAATAACATATTAAAAATACATTTTAATTATTTCTACACACCAAGTGCAACTAAAGAAAACTAACTCAAAATAGGTTGACTAATTAGTCCTAGTTGCTAAAATGTCCAACATATCTAGGATATCAATTCAGTTTTAGAAGTTATTAAACAAATATTGCAAGTAGTGAATTAATTTAAGGCTAAAACAATGCAAAATTGGCAAAAGGATGCTTCAGTACTGCATGTAGGGGGACTGTCTGGGTTGTCAGGCAGTCCAGCAAAGTGCAAATAAAAGAAAAAATAATGAAATACAAACCATAAAATTAATTAATATGTTATACATATATCATATATGTATAATATATTAGAAAATAATGAAAGTATTTTTTTTTATATTATACATATATAATTATATAATACATATATTTACTTTTATAGTTACTGCACTTTGATATAAATATATATATATATATATATATATATATATGTATAGGAATCTTGGCACTCACCCTTACAATCTATTTATTGTTTGTATAAATGCCCTGGTGCAATCCCACGCTGAAAGTATAAATAGCATATGAAGGTAGAGATACACTCTGCGGTCTTTGTAGAAAAAATATAGTTTTTAATTCATCCAATAATTAACATCCATTTGATCAACGTTTCGACCCATTCGGGTCTTTCTCAAGATCGATGTTTATTTAATATATATATTTATTTAGGAGTCTAGCCAGCTCCTTGGTTTTGAACCCCTCCCTGCCTCATCAAAGGGTCCTATTTAGCCTTGTACTGCAGAAAACTCGAAATGGAAGTATTTTCTCCAAGTAAGTAGCTCATTTAGAAGACATTTGGCTGTTAGAGTAGGACCTGCCAAAGATGGGGTACATTGACGTAGTGGCAGGCTTATGCAATGTATGATCATATAATGTAACTTAACCCCCATTCTTTTTTGCCTAGATTTGGTGTTTTTAAAATTAAAAACGAGCAAAATCTGTCAGCACTAAAGTAGCTGTTTAGTGGATAGGGGAGTGCGCTGGATTTTCATTTTTAATATATATATATATATATATATATATATATACATACATACATACATAAAGTAAAGGTGGCTGCACTCACATTTCTTGTTAAAAGTCAAAATTTTATTCCAACATCGTTAAAAATAAAGCGATCAACGTTTCAGTCCCTCTCAGGGCTTTCCTCAGCATCA